CATGAGCATGGAAGCCCTATGTTCCCAAAGCTAGTGATCGTGATTATATAATAGAAAATAAATATATTTAATGACTGCATGAGCATATATAAACAAATATAGATAAACTCATTTGATTTAAAATAAAAAATTAATAATTTGATCAAACTAAATAATTTGGCCATTTCACAATGCTCCATTTATTGCCAATTAGTGAAATTTTTATAACTTTAATGGCACAATTATTTTAATGAACCATGTTCTTTGATACTATAGGAGAATTGTAAGTCCGTCTTGGTATTTTTCTCTAAGGTTCCTACATAGGAGCTCACTTTTCTTTCTTTTCCTTTTCTCCCTGTGAGGAAAATTCTCATGGTAAAAGAGTGTCATGGACTGAGTTGCGTACACCCTGAAAATTCATGTGTTAATCTTAACCCTCTGTGCACCATATTTAGAGACAGAGGCTTTTGGAAGGTATAAAGATTAAATGAATTCATCTTTAAGGGTCATTTTTAGGTCATCCTACAGGATGAGAACTGGCATCCTTATAAAAAACAACAAAAGCAAAGCAAAACCAAACAAAAGCATGCCAGTGGGTTTCTCTGTCTGTGTGAACAGGAGTCCAAGTGAAGACAAGCTAGAAGTCAACCCTCTGCAAACCAAGAAAGAGGCCTGCTGCAGTCTAAGTATTTGTGGGTCCACCAATTTGTATGTTAAAACCTAATCACAGTGCAGTCATATGGAACAGTGGGTACGCTGGGTGTGCTCTTTTCCACCTGGTATCTCAGATTTTCAAAGCTATCATCTCTCTCAAATAATGTACTTATTTCTTTTTCCTTAAGAGGTCATCTCCTTCCCAACCTGAGACTCTTTAGAAATATAAATATCACTTAATTTCTGAAAGAAATATTTACTCTAATCTGAATGATTTAATCAAGCAAATAAAATTCAATTCCTAAATTATCCTTAGAAGAAAAGAAACACAATGTAATAAAGTTTTAAACCTTTAGATATGAAAATGTTTACTGATTACTCAAAAGAGCCTATTTTGAACTCCAGTCAAGTATGGAAATATACTGTGAATTAAAAAATCAGATCTGATAAAATGACACATAAATATTTTAGCAGGAATTTTGGTTCTAATGCCCAGGACATGGCTGTAAATCTGCCTGCAATACAAAATCCCCTTTTGTTTGACAACTTTCAGAGAGCCAACTATTTGGGTATTAAAAACTTCTGCCCAGATTACTGTTAATGTTAGTCCTGATGGAATTACTCAGTAACTGATTTTTATTCCTTTTAGAATGCCATCGTTATATGACTATTATATTGCAGGTCTCTGCTCTGACTGAATTCTGGTTTCCTCCACTGTACATGTAGGTAAAATCCATGACCTATTTCTCATGAAAGTGGGTTTAGTTTTAGTTGAACGAATATTCTAAGTTAATTACTTATCTTTAGTGAAAGTCAGTGTTGTGACTGTAAACTAAAAACATTCCTAGATTGTATTTAGACAGAGAGAAAAGGTAATTTTTAAATAAAAAAAATTTATGTTGACCAAAAATAGACTCAGCTCAAATAATCAAAGCTGTAGTTAATGAAGTGATTGAAGTACTATGTGTCTAATAACTTTCTAATAACTTTCTAGATTGTACTCATGCTGTACAACAGGAGCTATTCTTAGAGAGATGAAAGCAATATAGACTTTCAGGAGCCAATGAGTTCCAATGAAGTGTTCACAAACAGACCAATAAGATATTACCAGAACTTGCAAGTACCTATCACTTTCCTGCTCCCGCAGATTTCATGGATGAATACAGAGCTAGTCTTTGTAACACGGTATACTCTGTTCCTCTTATTTAGGGTACAGATTACCTTATAAGCTGACAATAAGATAAAATAGTTCAGATGCACTGAGATACAGCAATAGTAATCGTCAACACCCAAATGGGACAACTGAATTCAAATGTTTTAGAATCTCTGTGGTTCATAATTTTAAAAAAGAGTCTCTGTATCACAGTGAGGAAAATCTGTGATTTTCACTTTATTCATAAAGATGGATGAAAGGAAAAAAGTTGGAGACTTAACATTTTGCACAAACAGTGTAGGGAGGAAAATGGCAACAGGTTAGTAGAACCCTTGAGTATTGCTGGGTTCATGAAGGAACAATCCACTGAACTTGGTGTTTTGAAGAAAATGCTTTGCCCGAGTGGAACAGAACAGGCACCCTGGGCTGATGTTGCCCTCTTTTATGAGAAGTAAGTTTCCCCATTTTTTAGCAGGTGAAGGTCTCCTACAGGAATTTATTTTTTAGTTATGTAAAAGTGTTCCATTTTAGGACTAAAATTTGCACAACTGGGTAAGTCGGCGGACAACTTTGGTTGACAAACTCCCACTGTGCATTTTTCTGTGTGTGTGTGGTATGGGGATTGAACCCAGGGCCTTTACAGCTCCATCCTCAGCCTTTACTTTATGGAGGTTTTTTTTGAGACAAGGCCTCACTAAGCCACTGAAGTGAGGGAGCCAGGCTCAGATGTGTTACCCTTCTGCCTCCGCCTCACAGAGAGCTTGGGTTTCGCACGTGTAGACCACGCCTTGCTCACTGTGTAGTGCTGTGATTATCAGGCCCTTCTCCTCACCCTTGGTGATTAGTTTCACTGGCTTACCGCACAGAGCACTAGCAGCTCCTCTAATACCTCTTTTAAAGCATTTTTGAGCTTAAGACCATCAGTTGTTGTTTTGTTGTAAAATGCCAAACCTTAACCGATGAAGCTGCCAATCAGGACTCTCTCCTCTTTTTCATTCCATTCATTATTCCTTCATTCATTCATTCCACAGCTACTCATAGGTTCCCTATGTACATCAGGCACTGTGTTAGCCTACTGTACTCAAAGTCCTGTGAATTCTCCTCTCTCATCCCCCAAGGCTTTAGTAAAGGGAGACACATGTAAAAGAAAGGAAATAATGCATGGGGTATAATTAACACATCCGGGAGGGTATAATTAACACATAATAAAGGGGAACAATAAGTGAAGTAGAGAAGTATTTTGAAAGATATGTGCAATATTGAAAAGCAAAGGACTTGGAAAAAGATTTAGCTTAGGGCTACTCATGGTGGGGCTTCTTTATCATAATAAGGAAAAAGTATTGGCAATAACTACCCTAGAATAGGAAATACGTTAAGTAGTTATGTTCCTGTTGTTCCCGGCCACTTTACAGCTCTGTAGGAGTGAGATAGGATTGTCTTCCGCTGCCGCTGTCTGGTTCCCACCAGACGCAACACACGGAGCGTCTGAAGGTAGTTGTCCCGGAGTGTGCTTGGCATGGTAGAGCTCTTCACATTGACGCTTCCTATTTCCTGCTCAGCCACTTTCTGGCAGTTTTAGCCTTTAGTTGGTGGAGACCTAGTTAAGGGGGTCAGACAATCACTGTTCTCCCTCCTAGGAAAATAGCAGCTGCTCGGAATGCCGCTGGTCCTCAGTTTGTGTCTGGAACAGGCTGTAGGGGCCGCTCCCGGTGTGCAGTGAGGAACAGCAGAGCACTTCTTTCACGGGATCCCAGGCAGGCAGGGCAAGGGGCTCTTCCACGAGGCTCTAACAAGCTCGTAGTTAGTGCAAGTTTTGCTTTCAAATTCTGGCAATAACTTGATTGGTAATATCAACTCACCATCCTTGTTGGTTTTCATCTTTTTCCTTACAAATCACTATAGGTACTTTAGAATAAAGTTGGGGAATTGAGTCTTTTTCAGAGAATCAGTTCAGCAGCATTAAAAATCTATTATTTTGTTGGCTTATACAATTTTGCAGTATTCCTTCAGGTTGGACATTGACTCTCCACTTTGCCACAGTCTCTACCACTTTCCTACTGATTAGTGTATGAACTATTTACCTATTTATCTGTATGGTCATTGAAGCTATCACTATTTACCATCTGATTTATAGGCAGAACAAAAGTGGAAAAAAATTTTAATGTCTCCAAATTACTTTTTTCTGATACCAGGAATCGAACTCAGGACCTTGTGCTTGCCAGTCAGGCGCTTGTGCCACTGAGCTATATCCCTGGCCTTAATATCTCTGAATTAGAAACCAGTAGGAGCCAATAATAAATTCATAGAGGAACTCTTAATGGATCCTAGAATCTTCCATTCATTCCCAGATACAAGGAGAGAACTTCTCCTGTGTCTGTGAGCTCTGCCTTTAGTCCTTGAATGGGAGGAAGGAATACGAAGCCTTACAGGAACCATGTGTAAAATTTCTAGAAAGTGCCAGCTATATTGAGTGACATGTAGTAGGAATCTTGCCAAGTAATAAAATAGTCACCTTCCCAGCCAGGCACTGGGCCCAAATCCTAGCCGAATCCTGCATGGTCCAGATTCTCTCCCTTTGCTCCTTAACTCTCCATCTTGCCAGTCAGCTCTGATGTCTTCCAACCCTTGAGAAATTAGAATTTAATTCCCCAAAGTGAGGGATTTCCTCTGAGCAGCCACCCTGATGTCAGAAAGAAACAAGATTTCAGATTCCACACCCTCTTCCTGGGAAGCCCATTCCAGATTCTTTCCTCATAGCAAGGGGATTACAGATGACGTTAGGAATGACCTCAACCTTCCTATCGTTCAGCAGAATCCAGAGACAGAAAACCCAGCTGCCTCTCTTGAGAGAATTCTTGTTAGTCTGCAATGCCTTAGGAGACAAAGAAGAATCTATGATCTACATCGATCACATAGTCTAATTGGTCAGAATGTTGATCTCTTTTGTTTAAAACAGAGAAGTGCTTCAGTGTTAAAAAAATAGTGGGATTTTAAAAAAATAATTTCGCTAGGAGCTGGGAATATGTACTTTTTACAAATAGGCTAGATAATTCCTGGCCTAAGGTTGCCAGTTTGACAAATGATAAAATTTTATTTACACCGAAAATCTATCAGCAGACTTTTCACGTGAAGTTTCAGTTATTCTTCTTTGTGAGGGAATCTGGTAATAAAGGCCTTATAACAATGAAGAACTCTCACTTCAGACTTAATTCAGTATTTTCTCAGGTCGCTGTGCTCTAGCAGAAGGGACTCTTCACCAAAGGGAAGCAAGTGCCGTTGTTAAAAACAAAACCAAAACCCGGAACATCAGCTGGATGATTCAGTGAAGTACACAGCTGAGATCAAATTAGAACTGATCTTTGGGTCTCAAAGCTTCAAAGGGACAAAATCTCACAAGAGAAGAGTAAGTTTATCAAAATGTGACTTAGTTTGGAACTTCCTCATGGAAAAAGAATACAAGAAAATAATTGGGAATGTGAGCTTATTTGTTATAAAATTACAAGAACAACAGCACAACATGCTACCTATAGTGAGACTGGAGGGAAAGGGTATTACGTGAAATCACCTATAAAAGTGTAAATACTCAGTCACCAAATGGGCAAGCTCAGTTAAGACGGGAGGGTTGAAGCTAGATGATGTTACCATGCTGTAGGTTATAGTGAATAAGGATTTCTTTAGAGAATTTGCTGTCTGTGTATTGATTTTGCTTGAGATTTTAAGGCCTGGTATTAAAATGGCAGTTGGCTCCTGTTAAAATACAATGTATATGGAAAAATTAAGAAAGTGCAAATGTTGCATAAATGAGCAAATTCCTGAAATAATTCACAACTTTTACATTTTGGTAAAGTATTTCTATAAGCCTCATACCTTGTTTTCTTAAGTAAGTCTAGAATGCTCTTAAGATGATGTGAGTAAGGAGCTTCAATTTAATTTCTGATAAGACTGCCTCAGACTTGGAAAAGATTCCAAGCGTGGGTCCACCAACGACTGAAGTAATACACCCTGTTTGCACAGGCAGCACCAGGATTTACACAGGTCACTGACAATATTCCTGTGCTCTAAGGAGCAGTACCTTGGGCACAATGATTTCAGGAGGCTCTGTTTGCGCTCTGTATTTGCTCACAAATATCTTTTTTTTATCCTTCTGAAAGAGCATAGAATCAGGTGCAAATAACATTTAATCCAAAAGACTTACATATTATAGCTAAATAAATGGAGATTGGTAGGTTAATTCTGTATTGTTTCCATAGGTTTTAAATTTATTTCCACATAATAGCCCATAAAATGAAAGCTTAACTTCAGGCTGTGTCTTTTCCTTCCCCTTTCTGTTTTTCTTCCTTGCACAAAGTCATTTAAAATGTACGTTTATCACTTCTTTTGCTATTTATTTCCTAGTTAATGTACTTTCTTACACAACTAAGACTATAGCCAGTATTTATTTATTAGCTAATGTTTAACAATGGACTTCTTGTACTTTTCTTTGTCCTTTTTTTCCTTTCTTCCTTCCCTACCCAACCAGCTTCAACCAGTATAAACAATATATTTTGCAGGAGGCACCGTTTTGAGTTTTGGGATACAAGGGTGAGAAGATGCAGTTCTTGCTCTCATGGAGGCTTTTAGCCTAGTCAGCAATACAAAGAGGTAAACCATTATGTCACAGTGGGTGACGTACAAGTGGGTGAAGTCTGCTGTTTTAGGGGTAGTTTAAGAAGGTGGGGGGTAGTACTTTAGTGGGGGCCCTGGGGAGATGCCCAACCCAGCTTCCTAGGGGAAGGAGAGATCAAATGAGGTTAGCTGGAGAGTCTATCTTGGGTTCTTGCTAATTTATGACCATTTCCATCCTTTAATCCACTTTGTTCTTTATAGAAGCCGTCAGCATTCTGATGTTGCCTTGACCTTCTTTAGGTAAAAATTTGCATCTCCTGTTTACATACATTTCTCTCAAATTCTGTTCTGACTTCCTTCCAGTGTTCCCTTGCACACCTCGTCTTCCCTTTGAAAAGTTTGTTTGTTTGCCTATTTAGTGGAACTGGGTGTTGAACACAGGGATTTCACACTGAGCTACATCCTCAGCCCTCTGCACTTTATATTTGAGATGGTTTTGCCAAGCTGTTAAACTGCCCAGCCTGGGCTGGATTTTGAGATCCTCCTGCCTCACCCTCCCAGAGTGCTGAGATTACAGGAATGCACCAACACACCTAGCTAAATGTGCTATTTAAAGAGGAAAGTACCTGTTCAAGAAATTCTGCTACAAGACCTATCAACTACACATGGTGATAATGGTTTTCTTTATCAATTATTTTATCATAGCATTTTCTGGTAACAACTATTATATGCTAATAAATTTCAAGTGCTTATATGATAACATGTATATGAGGCAAGAAAAAAGACAGCTATAAAACTTCTACATGTTGTCAAGACCTGTAATACTCCATGCATGCAACTAGTCTTAGCTTTCTCCCAGTATGAGCAGTGTTATTTATCAGATTTCATCACTTTTTGAAAATTAAGAGCCAAAGCTATAGCTGTAGTTCCTTATTATAAATGCACTCACACTAAATTCACCGCTGACTTATATTTTAAAGTTGTACCCTTGTTTTCTTTCTCATCCAACTTTTTTCAAAATGGAAGTATTTTATTGGTTTATTCAGTTATGAGATCAATTCACATTCCACATAATACTATTAAATAATATTAAAATGCAAAGGATTTGAAATATAGCAATAATGCCACATGACCCCTATTCATAGAGAATGTTAATGTTCCACCTACTTTTAACTAGGTATCTTGGGGCTGGGGATTTAGCTCAGTGGCACAGCGCCTACCTGGCAAGCACAAGGTCGTGAGATAGGTTCCCGGTACCAGAAAAACAAACAAACAAACAAAAAACTAGATATCTTGATGTATTTTTTAAAACATATCTTAATAAGCTGCCTTGAATTCATGTATCACTAAATAATGAATAAAAGTGTTTTTAATAGAGCTTTACAATTTACAATGCACTTTTCATGTTTTCATTTCATATTCAAGGCAAAGATCAACAGAATCTTCTGAAAATAGTTATTTTCATTATTGCCAAACATTTTGTTGATTTGGTAGAATTTATTTCCTTCTCTTTCTTTGCTTCCTCCCTCCCTCTCTCCCTCCCTCCCTCCTTGTTCCCTGCCTTCCTCTCTCGGTCTCTCCTCAATTTTTTGGAATATGTAGTTAGGGAAATCTGGTGCCATGCTTCAAACTTTATTTTGCATGCTTCTCGTTGGACTTGAGAGCATCAGTAGTTGCATCTCTGAATACAAAGGACAATATATACGGGTACATAGAGCAGTAGAATAGGTAAAAAAATATACCACCCATTAATTGAGGATCATAAGTAATCACTGCTTTCAAACTGTTTCATATTATAATTATTTCATATCATAATTATACGAAGAATTGTCTCACCGAGTTGTTCATGAGGGATAAATCAAGCCAACCAAATCTTCATGGCATGTTTTCCAGTGCAGTCTTGAGACTCAGTGTTAAAGTTCTGATTTTTCTAGCAGAATTGTCCACATATACAAGCTGATATTTCTTTTAGAATAAATGTGGTATAATGTATGCCACTGCCTTCCATAGATTTTCTAGAGCAGCTGAGCCTTAGTTCAAAGAAGTCTGTTTCTCTTTTGGTTGCACACTGATTTCAAATAAAAAAACAAAAGCTGATTGTAATATGCAGAAACTCTTCACATCCTCTCACAGGTGACAGCTGAAAAGTGGGTGTTCCTTAGAAGACAGACAGTAATTTGTTTTTGCTGTAGTAGTGATTTTCCAAGACATGAAAATCCAATCACAAGGCCAGGTGTTACTTTGGAGGCTTTGAAATATAGTCAGGGAACTTCAGGTGCTGCACTAGGAGGAAATAGTGCCCCTCGCTCTTTAGCTTCCTAGGGATCCAGGAAACACAGAGAGTGAAAGCTGCTACTATACCGTATGATATAATTAAGCAAAACACAATTGTTTTAATTTCAAAATTCTTTTGTATGAGAACAAGCCCATAAAATGTTGAATTACCTGACTTAGATCTACCTACTAAACAATTAGTACCTTCTGTACAACATGTTAGAGCCTATCACCGCTACACTTTAGAGGAGTAAAGCTTTGGATCATGGAAATGTCCCCATAGGGGTTTTAGGAAGCTGGGTGTATGTATCGAATCCGCATGTCCTTCTCACAGAGCACATCAATGTTGTTTGCGCTACAGCAAATAACCAGTGTGGTTCACCAAATGTTTATTGGGTGTCCTCCACACGGTGGTGGTGGTGGGGGGAACAAAAATGATTGCAGTAGGATGTCTTATGTTCCAGGCATGTAAAACGATAGAGAACAAGTATTTTGGAGATCTAAATTTCTTTCATAAATGTATGTTGTGAAACTTGATGGAGCATTTTGAAAGAACTGGGTAATATCTTTGACTTCTTTTATATATTTTCATAATGGCTAACAGAAAATGGAAACTGACTGTTACTGACAGACTAAATGGAAAAATTGTTGGCAAGTTCAGGTAAACAGTTTCTCAGATCTCCACAGAAGATGAACAGAATTAATATGTCTGTTCTAAATGAAATTTTTTATTCCTTTATCAGTTCTGCTTTTCTCTGCTGTATCATTTGCACAAATCCTCAACACATGGAGAAAGAATGACAAATTTTTGAAAAGGTCATTATTATACATGATTTTCTGTGTGATAAAACCACACCCCATGGGCCTCACCCAGAGGAGTTTATATATGGTGTTAGACTCAGGAATGTTAAGTGTGTTAGATTTGGTCCCTGCTGAGCAGTCATATGATGCAAACAGTGACTCTGAAATGAAGCCATAATATATGGTTTAACTTCTTAACAGTTTGTGATGTCATTTTCTATGCAGTAAGAAAAACAAATGCTGTCACATTTTATACTTGAGACTCCTGTAAGCCAACTTCAGGAGATTAAGTATGTGCATTACTAACACAGCACCATCAATGCCATGAGATGGATGCCAGGAAATCACTGTGAGCTCAAACACGCCTCAGTAGCTCAGTGTCACGGATAGAAAGATAAGTCTGCCAGTAAGTCACAAGCCTCAGGAGACACTGCAGTTTCCCCTTAGAAAGAAGCAGAGGTAACTGTAAATATTTCGATCTGAATGTTAATTCATATAACTACCTTTATCTATCTGCTAATCTGCATGTTTACAATGTAAAAATCCCAAAATGCAGTAGCTAAGACTAAAGAAATATCTGTAAGTTTGTACAAAAGACAGAGTGAGAGCAGAGATTAAATTTGGGTAGAAAGTAAGCAAAACATTTGGTTTCCAGGGTTTATTTTCTTGAAATATGGTTTTGGATCATTTCTCTGAGATAGAAACTACTATTTTATA